CTGGCGTCGTTAGGTCGGCAGTGAATGAGACCATTGATAAATGGCCCCTTAATCGAGCCGAACGAGCCCTGGACGCCCGTGACTCGAAGGACCGGGATATCCGGCTCCGTCTGCTTCTTGAGTTCATCAAAGTCTTCTTTTACTTGTCGGTGCCTGTGATTGCCGTCCTCTTGATCAGTTTGCCTAGCTTCTCACAATGGGTGCGCGACTACGAACGTCTCGCCTGGTATAACGATACTGGGGTATGACAGAGACTCAGTGCTTCTATTTTACTATTTGATTTGACTATTTCCTGTTCGATCATCTGCAGATAGCCTATTTCGATAAGCATTACTCCTTGATATACATTGCTAAACTAAACTAGTAGCATTTCATTGAAAATGGCTTTGCATTTACCCATAACCTCATACTAATGAGTTCATATTATAGCAAGGGCTGCTTTTAGGATAAATAGTGATCCGTTAAGAGCATATCCTGTCTCTTATGTGTTGTTGTTGGCCAGTGCTATGAGAAGGTACTTAGTAAACAAGACTACAAAATAGGATTCAGCACTGGGCCAGATAGTTAGTTTCGATATCGGATCTGTATCTAGTCTAAAAGTTGCGTTCATACCTAAGAACTATCTTTGCTGATTGAACATATATTCAAAAATGCGAATATATGAAAAACCCGATTAACCCTTTAATTTACGTTTTTTCATTCATTACACTGATTCTAATTTTCCCATACTTTGAATCATATCACTTCTTATCTCGCCCTGCAACTACATTCATAAGGTCATATGTCAACCAAAGAATGTACGCCCAGGAAGTTTGCTTGGCTAAAAATGCCTTTTTTGCGTAAAATTCGTGTTTGTATGTCAGGAATGTTGCTGGATTTGTTTTTATACTCATTTTATCCTCCTAAATCTTGATACGTATATTCTATTGACCTGTTTAATATGCCCACATGCGTAGTTTATTTGGATATGGTTTTTTGTTTTTACCGCTCTGAATGCAAATGACCACTTTGAAATGGTAGTTTGCAGTGGGAAATATCAACCACCGCAAATCGACAGAAAGCAGCATT